TCGCCTTTTCGGCCAGGAGGTTCTCCAAACAGTCGTCCACCCCCAGGAGCGGACGACCGTCATGCAAGCCTCGGTGAGCTCTCGACCAATGCGCGCGCCCAGCATCATGTCGAGGCGCGGGCGGCCATCCGCTGCTCTGAACGCACGCCAGCGTGCTATGGAGAGAGATTTGTCGACCGGTCAGGGCAGCGAACGGACGGGCAGTGCGCGCACATCTGAACAGGGCGCTTCAGGCCAGTTTCTCTCGGCCCTCGACAACGTTACAAAGTCTGTCACGGCGCCGGGCACAAACTGTTACTTTGTTTTCTGTCTCAAGCCCAACGACAGGCGCATCGCGAACCAGTTCGACAGCAAATGCGTGCGCGCACAGCTGCAGACTTTTGGCATTGCCGAGATCAGCCAGCGCTTGCGGTCTGCCGACTTCAGCCTGTTCTTGCCGTTCGGTGAGTTTTTAGGTTTGGCGGATGCCGAGACTATGCTCGTGGGCAGCGAGCGCGAGAAGGTGGAGATGGTGGTTGACGAGAAGCGGTGGCCGAGCAACGAGGTGGCCATTGGCGCCACAGGTGTCTTCCTTAGCGAGCGCTGCTGGATGGAGATTGCGCAGCTGGGCGACAGCTTCTCTCAATCCGGCCGGTACGGGCTTCCCTCGGACGCAGGAGACGGGATGGGCACGCCTGCGGATCCGTTTGGTGTCTCCAAGGAACGGCTACTCGTCTCCGGTGGGGCCACGCCGGCTAGCTTCAGCGGCGAGAAGAAAGCTGGCTATTTCGGCAGCAATGACGTGGACGCCCGTTCCGATGCCGGTGTGTCCGCCTTTGGGGGCGGCGACATGTTCAAGAACTTGGATACGCGGGAACAGATGGCCGAACGCGGCAACGAGAAGGACATGCAGGAGGTGGAGGAGTACAAGGACAGCCCTAGCCGCAAACGCTGGGTTTTTGTCGTCTATCTGCTGACCTTCTTCATCCCCGACTTCCTCATCCGGTGGGTGGGCCGCATGCAACGCAAGGATGTGCGCATGGCGTGGCGTGAGAAGATGGCCATCAACATGCTCATCTGGTTCATGTGCTTGTGCGCTGCTTTCTTCATGGTCGCCTTCCCAATGTTGATCTGCCCGCGCCAGCACGTCTACAGCCCGGAGGAATTGTCACGGTACGACGGGAAGGACGGTCGGAGCGCCTATGCCTCGATCCGCGGCCAAATCTTCGACATTGGCGCTTTCATCCCGCGTCATTATCCCAGATATCTGCCGGAGAAGATGCTGACCCAGTACGGTGGCATGGACATCACCTCGCTCTTCCCCGTACAGGTATCAGCACTCTGCCAGGGCCGTGACGGCAAGGGTGTCGATCCGGCCGTTCTTCTCGACTACAAGGACACCAACATAACCGGGTCAGTGGCCGTCGTCAGCAGCCAAGACTTGAACGCGAAATATCACGACTTCCGCTTCTTCACCAACGACAGCCGGCCCGATTGGTTTGCGCAGCAGATGAAGATGTTGAGGTCCAACTACAAGGTTGGCAACGTCGGCTACTCAGCCGAATACGTGCGGTCCCTCAGCCAGAAGTCGCAGGTCATCGCAATTCTCAACAGCCGCGTCTACGACATGACACAATACGTAGAGAACGGTCGTCGGCAAAAGAATCCACCAGGGATGCCGGAGCCATCGGACCCGAATGCGAGAAATTTCATGCATCCGTTGGTGGTTGATCTCTTCCAGCAAAGATCCGGTGACGATGTCACAGCCCTCTGGCAGTCGCTAGGCCTCAATCCGACCGAGAAAAGGGCGATGCAGCTGTGTCTCGACAACCTCTTTTACGTCGCAGACGTGGACACGCGTGCTTCTGCAAAGTGCAAGTTCGCCGAGTACCTCGTCTTGGCCGTATCCATCCTCCTTGCCAGTGTCATCGCCTTCAAATTCTTCGCCGCCCTCCAATTCGGCACCAAGAACATGCCCGAGAACCTGGACAAGTTCGTCATGTGCCAAATTCCAGTCTACACGGAAGACGAGGAGTCCATCCGCCGTGCCGTCGACTCTGCGGCACGCATGCAGTACGATGACAAGCGCAAGCTTCTGGTTATCGTCTGCGACGGTATGATTATCGGTCAAGGCAACGATCGGCCAACGCCGCGCATCGTGCTCGATATTCTTGGCGTTTCCGAGGCGGTTGATCCCGAACCCCTGAGCTTCGAGTCGCTCGGCGAAGGTCTCAAGCAACACAACATGGGCAAGGTATACTCGGGCCTGTACGAGGTGCAGGGCCACATTGTGCCCTTCCTCGTCGTGGTCAAGATCGGCAAGCCCTCTGAGGTGTCTCGCCCCGGAAACCGTGGCAAGCGCGACTCGCAGATGATCCTGATGCGCTTCCTCAACCGCGTGCACTACAACCTGCCCATGAACCCGCTTGAGCTCGAGATGTACCACCAGATCCGCAACATCATTGGCGTCAACCCGACCTTTTACGAATACCTCTTCCAGATCGACGCCGACACGGTTGTTGCCCCGGATTCGGCTACGCGCATGGTGTCAGCCTTCCTCGACGATACCCGCCTCATCGCTGTGTGTGGTGAGACGGCTCTGAGCAACGCCAAATCGTCCTTCGTCACCATGATCCAGGTGTACGAGTACTACATTTCGCACAACCTGTCTAAGGCCTTCGAGTCCCTCTTCGGTTCCGTCACGTGCTTGCCAGGATGCTTCTCGATGTACCGCATCCGCGCCGCCGAGACAGGGAAGCCCCTCTTCATCAGCCGCGAGGTTGTTGAGGCGTACTCGACCATCCGCGTGGACACGCTCCACATGAAGAACTTGCTGCACCTGGGTGAGGATCGCTATCTCACCACTCTTCTCCTCAAGTTTCACAACAGGTACAAGACCAAGTACATCTTCCGTGCGCACGCTTGGACAATCGCTCCGGATTCGTGGAAGGTGTTCCTCTCGCAACGTCGCCGCTGGATCAACTCGACCGTGCACAACCTCATGGAACTCATTCCCCTGAACCAGCTGTGCGGTTTCTGCTGCTTCAGCATGCGGTTCATCGTCTTCATCGACCTGCTCTCGACCATCGTGCAGCCTGTCCTCTTGGCCTACATCGTCTACCTCGTCGTCATGGTTGTGGAGCGGGCGACTGTCGTTCCCATCACTGCGTTTATCCTCCTTGGTGTGATCTACGGTTTGCAGGCCATTATCTTCATCCTGCGCCGCAAGTGGGAAATGATCGGCTGGATGATCCTGTACGTGATAGCGATCCCGGTCTTTAGCTTTGCCCTGCCGCTCTATGCCTTCTGGCACATGGACGATTTCAACTGGGGCAATACCCGTGTCGTGGCGGGTGAAAAGGGCAAGAAGATTGTCATTTCGGACGAGGGCAAGTTCGACCCGGCCAGCATCCCGCGCAAGAAGTGGGAGGAATACCAGGCCGAGCTGTGGGAGGCCCAGACCCAGGCTGGCGGGCTGCATGATGACACGCGCTCTGAGGTCTCGGGTTACTCCTACGCCACTCGTCCCAATCTCGCCATGTCTGAGTACGGCGGCTACACACCCAGCCGGCCGGGCTCCATCACGGGATACCCGGGCATCCCGACGGCCCCGAGCCGTATGTCGCTGGCGGCCTCGGAAATGCTCGGCGGCAGTAACAACCGGCAGAGCCAATTCGGCGGATCACAGTTCTTGGGGCCGTCGCAGTCGCAGCAGGAGCTGGAGATGTCCAACCTTGCCGGCATGCCTAGCGATGACGCGCTGCTGGCCGAGATTAGGGAAATCCTGCGCACCGCCGACCTCATGACGGTGACCAAGAAGGGCGTCAAGCAGGAGCTCGAGCGGCGCTTTGGCGTACCGCTTGACTCAAGGCGGGCTTACATCAATAGCGGTAAGTTTTTTTTTTTTCCCCTCATGCATTCATCCTTTCTTCCCGAGGCATATCCAAATGTGTAACGGTGGCTGACTTATGGTGTTGGTAAAGCGACCGAAGCGGTTCTATCTGGACAGCTGTAAAAAATTACATAGACTCGGGCATGCATGAATTGTTTTCTTTTGGGTTTCGGGTTCTTTTTTGGGAGGTTCAGGACCATGGGCTCATATTGCTTGGCTCTTTTGGTTTTCTCAGTTTGGTTTTCCGGCAGAAACAGCAGCAGCGATCTGGTATTTTTCTTTTTTTCCTTCGATCCATCCGGATTGAAGACCCGCCTACCTCACTCCCTGCTAGTGTTGCAGTTTTGACTATCTAATTTAATGTCTGCATCGTTCTGCTGGAACAAAGCTTGTTTCAGCGCTGGGAGGTTATGCTGAGAACAAGCTCAAGCGAATCTTGTTCAGGGATGGGTGTGTCAAACTCATATCTAGCTGCAGTGGTTAGCAGTAATTAGTGGTGGTAACTCATTTGGACGATATGCTGCCGGAGTGATGTGTATGAAGTTGGTCCGTGTTTCCTGTTGAGCTTCACTCTGACTATCTGTTCGCACATTGTGATGGGATGACAGGACACTTGTTTGTTTAACCGTTGGCTCCGATGATTGAAGCGGTCGGACAAAGGTTTTCTTGATCTTAAATGAAAGTACAAGGTTCGTTGACTGGAGCAGCAGGTTGACGCGCAGCAACTCAACGTAGAAGGAGCACGCCTCGTCCCTTTTGACAGTTGTTGCCTGACGTTGACTTCGGGTTTTTGAATCCTCCAGCAACCCCCAATCATCTCACAATACATTTTCCTTCCCCCTTGAGAGTTGTCCCTCGTTCGCGCTCAACCCCACCCTCAACCAAGCCCTCGGAATCCGATCCAGATACGGTGGAGACATTGACGGTGCCAAACAAGCGATTGATTTTCCAGCTTCGACAAGCAAGCACCCCGATTATGATATGGAGAATGACCTCCTCTAAAGCCCAGACTTGGATTGAACCAAAAAGGGGCGGTAGTGAGGAACTGGAAAAGGAAGTACAAGGTCATGCATGCGCGTGCATGAGAAAGGGTGGGACGTGGATAGGAGCAAAAAATATCAAAAGAGTTTGACAAGAGTGAGATTCGAACTCACGCCCTTTCGGACCACGGATTTGATGATTAAGGGTTTAAACACCTTAACGTGGCGCCTTAGACCGCTCGGCCATCTTGCCTGTTGTTGTTGTTATTATGGCACTGCAAAATTTTTCTTATATTGGAGGTTTTGCAACCAAGCCCCATGCACCCTTCCGCTTTGCCGCCCGAACTCCCGGGCGTCTCAAATCTCTGCTTTTGCCTATCCCAAGTTGAGAATACAAATCAATCGACGCCTGTTCTCTTTCAAGTGACCTATCGTATTTCTCTCTCTCATTCAAGACAGTGCCAGGTACAGCTGCTTCATATCTTTCCTCGAAGAGTTCTGTTAGACAGTGACTGCGAAGCTCTGGTGCTCGTGCCTATCGCGTGGCTCTGCCTGCATCTACCCTACTTCACATATGTGTGCTTTTCTCCAGGAGGATTTCCCCAGTTATTCAGATATGTACAGCACCTTTTGCTCGCGTTATTTATTCGCAGCAGTAGCGGCGGCGGCGGGCACCTCCTCCTCCAACGGCAGAATGTCCGGGACAGGCCCCACAGGAGTGATGGACAGCGGGTTGATCTGAGTGTGGGAGCGGGTGTAGTGGTTCTTGATATGCAAGAAGTTTGTGGTCTCGCGGAAGGCTGGCAGGGTCCAGTACAGGTGGCGCATCCAGCGGTGGATGGCCGGGTAGCCGGAGCGGATGTCCCGGATGTTGCACTTGAAGTGTTGGACGTACACGGGCTGAGATCGAAGTTAGTTTAACTGGGATAAGGAAGACGTCTGTACGTGCCCACAAGAGGCAGGACACTCACGTCAAAACGAATTATGGTCACGAATCTGTTTGGCGAGCACGGTGGGTCATTAGCGGCTCTGTCCGTTTTCAGCAAGTGTGAAAGACTGGAGAGACTCACAGTCGGATATCGACTTCAGTAAGGGTTTGGCCGAACCAATATGGGCCCTCGCCTGCCGCCTTCGCAAGGTGGGCCTCGGCGCGGTCCAGGGCTTCAAACAGGGCGACCACGTTACGCTCATACGCCCCCTGAGTCGTGGCAAAGCCAGACTTGTAGACACCGTTGTTGATCTTGTCGTACTGCCACTCATGTGCCTCGTCGATCTGCGCGCGCAGAGCCTCCGGGTAGAGATCCACCTTTCGGTACTTTTCGTCGATGAGGTCGTTGAACTGGTCCCACGTCAATCTCGTGGCTCAGAGGGCACGGGGACTTTGTGATACCAGACTCACCTCGGTCCCGAGCATGCGCAAAATCTCGCTGCTCTCGTTGTTGACAATGGTCTGGGTCTTCTTATCATACAAAACAGGCACGGTGAAGCGACCCTCGTACGATGGGTTCACCTGGAAGTAGAGATCCCGCAGGTGGGTGAAATTCTCGTGGCCGGGCACGGGGTCGGGAATAACGTTCTCGCCCGCCGCGTCAGTGTCCTTGGAGTCCGGGAAGCGCCAGCCTGGGGGTACCTGCGTTAGTCCTCTTTCACCTAAAAATTCCGTAAGGAATCGGCTGATTTACCCTTCTCTCCCATGTGCCAGTGCACCGCGGAAAACGAGATGATATCCTCGAGGCCCTTGAGCTTGCGCGCGATGAGGGTGCGGTTGGCCTAACCCACGTCAACTTTGCGTTTTTCCTACCAGATATTTAAGGAAAATTCACTCACCCACGGGCAGGCGTAGCTAACATACAAGTGATACCTGCCCTTCTCTGGCGGGAACTTTGCGCCGGGCTCACGCGAGATCCAGTCGCGGAACGAGCTCTGCTGGCGTTTGAACTCACCAGACTTGTCGTCAGGCTTAACCCAGTCGGTGATCTTTCCGGAGGCGGAGGCGCCGGGAGTGTCCTTGGTGGCCTGAAAGAAGACGTCAACAATCGAAGACGATGATGGCTCCGTGAGCAGAGACATGGGACTCACCATGTTTGCTAAGTATCCAACTCCCGTTTTATTCGTCAACAAATTTATAATCTCGGGTCTATGGCCTCGGATTGGTTTGGTTGTCTGTAATGATGCAAAGCTTCGGAACCGTAATGGAAAGCTCCTGATTGAGTGTGCTGATGACGAGAGTCCCTCGATAAGTGGACGGGCACCACTTCTTATACTCATGAGGAAGGGGGAAGAGGGGTTTTGGCGAGGGTTGAGTTACTCAATGCGGTAACTCAACTTGGGGAATCAAATCTGCAAACTGCGATGCAGTCGTGTGGAATCATTTGCAGGTGCTCAAAATATAAGCGACTAGTTAGCGTTTTGTTAACATGATTGTATGCAGGGCCACAAATGCTTAGGCATATCTTACTTAAGCCGTAGGACACATCAGACGAACAGTAACCCTTGATTCGCACCTGTTATCAAGTTGCTTGGTGTACACAGCCGTATTGCGAGTGCAAGCAACTGACAAATAGTGACGTAATTTCAGGGCCAGATTCCAAAGCTGAAGCTCTCCACATTTGGCGGTTGGTGATGATTAATAAGGTACCACTTTCTCGTACGGGGCACCTAAATACGGGAAAAGTGGGCTAGATAGCGGACAGGAAAACCAACAAGCCCGGCGTGGGATTCGGATCACTTATGGACACAACAACTGACACGCCTAACTTGGTCTTGTCAGATAGACTGGGCACATGTGCGGAACACTCGTTTAGCCTGAGCGGAACCGAATTTGTGTCAAGATTTCAAGATGGTTCCCGGAGCAATGTATCAAAACACATGGTCTATTCCTATCGGTACCTCAAGCTTAAGTCGTGCGTATCATTGCATCGTCGTGATACACAACCCCCCGTTCGCTCCTAGCAAAAACATTTACCGGATCTTGGCTTTGATATACGGCACCTCAACGTCCTCGCCATCAGCATCCTCCGTCACCACTTCAAAGATGAGCTCCGTCAAATGCGAGGGAATGGGCTTCTTGGTGACCGACTCAACCAGCTCACTCAGTTTCATCTTGAGCTTGTCCTTCTGCTTAGCCGGCGGGAAGAAGGCCGCAAACAGTAGGCTGACTCCCGAGCTCAGCATGGCGATCGTCAGACCGCGCTTCTCAAAGTCGTCAATCAGCTCTTGGAGCGTAATGTCCCCGACCTCGAACCGATCCCAGATCTTGTCCAGGGTCACCTTGCCGTTAGGGCCCTTGTATTCGACCTTAGGACTGGCGATAGGCTCGCTGAAGCCGAAGAAGGGCAGCGCCAGGTTGACGAAGCCGTTCTTGTACTGCTCAATATCCTGCTTGCCGTCGATGATCTTGTACAATTCTAGAACAACCAAACCCGTGACCAGTGCCGTAGTCGTGGCAATGGCCGGGATGATCTTGCCGGCAATGAACTTGGTCTTGTGCCGGTCCGCCTGTTCGATCTTATAATTCTCGGCACGCAGGTTGCTGGCAGCTGCGATGAAGTCGATGTGGTAGTTTGTGTCGTCGTCCTTTTCGAACTCCACCGGCGTCAACTTGAACCCGGCCAGCGTCTTGGGTTCCGGAAGCTCGTTGACCAGCTTCTGGAGCTCGGCCTCGTCATCGAAAGCACCGGCCCCGGCATTCGGGTCCTAGTTCTCGTTAGCCACGAGAATTAATATCAACTTCAAAACATCACTTACAGGGTCCTTGTCGTCAGCCTGGATCTTAACATTGGCATCTGGCGAAAAGTCGGGTACAATCATCGAATCCAGCGCCTGCAGGTAATCCTCCCTGGTCTTCCCCTTAACGTTGATGTTGTAGTTGAAGGCATGGAGGTTGGTCGCCGCCTCGATGAACGAGAAGTGCGTCTTATTGGTCGGGTCAAACTTGAGCGGGTCCGGAGCCCGCTTGGGTCCCGACCAGAACGGCGTTCCAGTTGAGGAAACGGCGTCCTTGGGAAAGTTGTATAGAAGCTGCTGGATCGCGTTGTTGTACTGTTTCTCGAAAAGCATGCGAGCCCACTGAACGCAGTCCTCAAACGTGAGAGCGCGTTCGTTCTTAAGATAGTCCACCAACATCTCCAGAGTGGCCTTCTCGTTGCCACCCTGCTTCAGTGTCGTCTCCAGATAGTTGGGCTGTGCGAGGTAGAGGTTCGCCGTCTCGGCAGGCTTCACGAAGGAGCTCTCAAACAACTCCCGTGCCCACGCGATTGTGTGCTCAATCCGGTTGGGGAAGCTGCGGAGCGTGCACATGGGGAAGGACTGCTCGGGCGGGTCTTGGGATGATGAATAGGACTCGGTGAGCTTGGGAAGAACAACTTGAGTGTTGCCTTTCGTGCCTAGGGTACCGCTCTCCAAGAGGGGCTTATGGAAGAAGACGCATCGCCTATCGACGTATGTTCTAGCCTCAACATTGTCCAAAGCGTTGGTCACGCCGTCCAAGCTGTTCCAGAAATCCTCGTTGAAGATATGCTCCGTTTCTGGGCTGACGCGGTCTTTGAGGGTGACGATGTGCCCCTTGAGTTCGCTGTTCATGGCCTCGACGGCCTTTGCCGCACACTCGCTCTTCATCTGGCCTACGTCTTTAGGCCGGAAAAGGAACTGCCTGTTCAGGTTGCTCTTCTCAATGGAGTCCATATCGGTTACGGTAATCCGGCCGTTGGGCCCAGTTCCAAGACCAATCATTGCCCAGTTCTTCAGCATCTCACAGCCGATTGCACCGGCACCGACCAGGAACTGCTTCATGTTTGCGATCTTCTCCTGAAATTCACGGCCGAAGACCGCGATTTGCCCGTCGTAGCGGGAGCCAGTGGGTTTGCACAGCTCCTCAGAGCGGGTAGACCTAGTAGGGAGGGCCTCGAGAGCGTCGAAGTACATGTACTGCTTCACCGGGTGGAACTTGCCCGACACAGCCTTGAGTACTTCCTGAGCAGTGAGACCACCGAAGAATGCCGCCATCGGACTGAGATCGCCCGTTGCCTGATAGCTGAGCTCCTTGAGCAACTTCTCGTCAAACTCCACTTCAATACCCTCAGTTTGTGCGATTTTCTTGGCAGAATCAACAATCTCGAGCGCATCCTCCTCATTCATGGGCTTGGGGAGACGGCCATGGGTCTCAGCGAAAGCGTGTAACGCCTGGACACCGACATGAAGCTGCTGAGGCCGGTCAAATTTGGCAAAATCGGAGATGACAAACTCGGGATCCTT